TATTTTAGTTTTTTCATTTTTGCTCCACTTACATTATATCCTGCTGTCCCTTTTGTGAAGTTAGACAGGAGGACCATCTTTGGTCTTATTTTTGTTTAACATTTTATTATAATTATACATTTTTAATCATCTGGGGTTTTAACTTACATTTTAACTTTTCAAATTCTGACAAATTTCTGGGCATTTATAAGAGGCTTGAAAGCTGAATGTTCTAAATAAACATTAATGATTAACAATAACCTTAAGCGTGCATTTGAACCGTAAAAAAAATCAAGTGTGGAATTTTGCATACTTTGGTGCCCCTGGTTATTCAACTATGAGCACTGTTTGCTTTTAACAAATTGGTCTTTGACATCCCTCGTCATGTCTCTAGCTCCAAGGAATTTTTCATCATTACAAAGCTGCATTCTTTATCTTTACGCCACACGGCCACCCAAACCGAGTTAAGCACTTCGCTCTCGCTAAATACTCTGCCAAGAATTACTTCTAACAAGAACTTGGGTGTGCCCGCTTCTTCACAAAAAGGTGTTGACCGCAAAGGACAAGCAAGTGTCAATAGATCTGCTCTCAGCCCCTATAGGACGTTGAGACGCATGAGCTCTTTTCCAAGGCCTAATAAGATAGCACAGATGCGCCCTTGTCTGAGCACAGCCCTGCGTCTCATTGTACTTTGGCCTCCCAACCCTGCCATTGCAAGACCTCTATTGCGCTGGCTGCATGAGAGGGTCTCATTAGGACAGACAAACGAAAACCGGGGTCAAGGTATATAAAAGGTAGCCACAGCTAAGGAGCATGCCTCTAGGATGAGTTGGGAACTCCACCACGTCCTAGGGCCACCCCCTTCAGACCTCTGGCCCTCCCCATCATGACCTCCAATATCTACCATTATTTGATGAAGCAGAGCTTGATAATTATTTTGCGTGGTTGAAGAAGGGGGCACAGTGTGAAAGGAGTGTCTCAATCCAAGGGAAAGGATAGTAGGACATGACAGAAAAAAAGGGAAGGGGAAAAAAAAGATCAAAAGCAGGCCTTTCGCTTTTCATGCCTCAGAGGCTCCAAAGAGGATAAGGAACAATTGGGCCCTGGGTATCCTGTCCTCTCTGGCAATTAGACTCAGCTGATGAAGTGAAAGGGATGAATGGCAGGGTTCAAGGCCTTCTCTAGGATTCACACAACAGGGTGTGTTTTTACCTTCTTCTCCTTTATCTTCATCTCCCTTTAGAGTGGCAGAAATGCAGCTGAAATATTTTCAGATGAAGACAATGGGATTCAAGGTGCCAACTCATATGCATGGGGGCTGATGAGATTGAGAAGGTGTGAAAGGGCACGAACAGACATGCTTGCAATTACATGTGCGCACACACATTTTCAGGAATATGTGCTCACAAAACATTTATACTTGAACTAGTCTAGAATGCTGAGTCTAACTCCATCGCTATCATCAACCACTATAAGATGTTCAGTAAGACAAAGCAGATGTGTCTGACATATGAATGATTGTTCAATGTGTTCACAAACATATTCGGTTGATTCGACTAACTAAATACTCTCTATGCAGTTTAGCACTATGCTATTTAGTTTTGACCAAGACCATTATTGGACCACATATGGTCAGTTGAATAATAAAATGAAACAAAATTTGACTGAACTTATTAATTATTATTAAACTTTCTATATCAATGTAAACCAATAATGCTGGAAAAATGATCAAGCAATTACTAATACGAAGACAACAAAACAATTTCATCCAGAGTAGAAAACTATATGTTCAGAAAATTATTCTACAAAAGTAAGAACAAAATTCCAATGAAGCAGCATCAACATAGTAGAAAGCAAAGATGATGCAACAACTAGCAGCAAGTACTGCAGACATTCCTTCATAATGCCACTTTTACTGCAATGGATCCATTATCTCCACTGTCCAAGCATATCCAGTGCAGACCAGACCAATTTCTTAACATTCCTTCATATGAATTCATATTTTAGTGAACCGCAGTGTTAACTTAAACGTCAACTTAAGTTCTCTGGAGTGTAGGAGCAAGTTATAATTGGAGAGTGAAGAAAACTATATTCAGAGTTAAAAAAGTTAAAACAAAAATCAAAAGAATACTGTATTAGGATGGAGCATGGACTTGGAGGTAACCCAACTGAGAAACATCACACTTTGACAATCTGTGTCGTATTTTCTAAAGTTTGTACTAGTTATTGTAGTAGTGTAGGATAAAGTTGCTCTAATATGCATATATTTACAAAACATCAATAATCCTGCCACAGTTATCACATATTTCACAGAAAATGTGGCAGTAAATGAGCCCGAAAGGCTTGAACGATACCGCCACAGTGCACTAAAACCTTAAGATGATTAGTGATATTCTTAAAACCTAGCCCACTGATAATGTGTTTAAAGAAGCGATCCGGCTTTTCCAAGCTTAAAGTTCAAAGTCTGAGAAGCATGGGGTCAGAATGCCAATGGGCTAAACAAAGAGTAACCAAAATGGGCTTTGGGGGATTTGAAACTTAGGCCCCTGAACCCCTTTGATCAAAAACAGAGCTACGGCCATAGAAATACTAAGTATCAGGTGCCCGGGACTGTGCCGCTGCCAAGGAGGGCTGAGTTAGGAATGCAGGATGAGACACTAATAATAACAGTATGGTATTGGGGGAATCGATGAGGCGTGTAACTACTATCTTGTAATAATACTTTACAAAAAGGGGTTCTCCCGACGGAGCCCAATGGTCCATAACAACAATGGGCGCCTCACGTAACCTTAACATTCCTACACCATAACATATGTTATATTGCATGAGCATCACCGCCGAATGAGTGTAAGCTGGAACTTGTTAGAAGGTTCAATTTCAAATAAAATTTGAAAGTAATGGCAATTTAAGACTGAGTGAGGTGGTAAAAGTGTTTCTCTTACACATCTCTGTTAAAAGGATGTTAAGTGCTAGCTCATATTCAACTGGCTAATTAGCTTTACTTTGACTAAAACAGGAAACTTGCAGAGAGTAAGTGTGCTGGATAAAACAAACAAGATCAAAAATATATCAAACTAAAATGTGAAAACATTTTCTTTGAGCAATTAATGGGGCATGTTTTTGTTTTATTCTAATAGTTTTACTATAAAGTCTAAGAGAACTGAGCAGCGTTCAACAATATTATTACCAAATCGGCAATAAGGCTTCCAATCTAACCTAACCTTGAATATCTTCTAGTGGCACTGGTGGTAAACTTGTCCTTAAACCGTTATCATAATGTTTCCAGGTCACATGCCAGCAAGTCGTACAATGTGACTGGTGTTCCACATCAACGACTACAAGTTTGCCATAAAGTATTTAAACGGATCATCTCTGTATAAGACATTCCTCCGTAAGATTCATAATCAACAAAAAATCCATTACTTTATATACTACCGCTAATAAAACCCTCCTGATGACACAAAGGGATGAAATGCACTAAATATAATGACCATCTTGTTTTAATTGTTCAAATTGTCTCTCTTTTTAAGGGGACAAGACCATTACTCCAAAGTCACCACTTATCAGCAGTATCACTGAGGATTAATGGTTTCACTGGTGCTACTGAGAAATGTTTAAGTTGTCCCGATTATCAGTGCAAGAAAAAAGAATAATGGTTGTTTGTCATTGTGTTAAGCAGCGAGAGAGACTAATGTAACAAAACACTCAGTTACGAACGTGATTAACCCCGTCCGGAGGGAGACGAATGGAATTTGTGCTGTACTGTGCACAGCAGTGGAGCCACAGACTGAAATGAATGCTGGTCTTCAAATAAATTGTGTGTCAGACAAACTGATCCGTAGGTGAATAATCTACGAGATGCTACACTATGTATATGTATCTTATGTCTCAGGTGTATGAGACATAAGTATGCTTAGTGAATGAAAAAAAGGCAAAAAAAATCAAATGTATAGACAAACAAAGGAGGAAATGTAACACATGGCTTCTCTCTCTTTAAACTTCAATGTAATATTCTCTATTTTTGGTGCAAAGTAACCGGGTGAAATGAATCCACAAGCAGTTATCTGAAACAGTTTCCTCTTTGCATAATACATACCACCAAATCATCTCAAGATCTAAAAAACCCTGAAGAATCAACGTCCTGACGGCAATTCATTTGGAGTGAAAGAAGATCAAACCAAAATGGGAGAAGAAACTGGCCCACCAAAAACAGGTCACCAAAACAGCAAAAAATGACAAAATAGGACAACATTTCACAATAGTGTGAAGTGAAATAAATCAGAATGGAAAAATAAATATTTCGATTAGATATTTAACTAAAGACTTATAGTATGTTTGCATCAACAGCAATTACCACCAATTGCTGCCATACTACCCATTTAACACATTTCCTTCCAGCGTTACATTCCCTGAAGCTTTTACTGGCTGTGCAGGCTTGTCCCTGCTCCCGTAATCCCCTACATTGTTTTCCTTGTCTGTCACCTTTATAGCATCTATTAGCTACCCTCTACTGTTGTCTGTTCATTGAGCATTTTCTCTTCCTTTACGCCATGAATGTTTTATATATTAGAGGGAGAAGGATTGTTCTTCGCCACGAGGCCAGCGCGCGTGCTGCAGTAAGACAAATTGCTCCAGAACGTCTAAATGGCAGTCAATGATAACTCATTGTAAGGAGAGTAAGTGACTTCCAATGGAGTGGATAGGGGACAGAGAATAATGGCAGAGCACAGGTGAAAAATAGATGTTTGGCTCGGTGTAATTACTCCATTAGGGGGTTCTCCGTTAATCTACCAAACCACAGCGAGTGTTTGTACAGCGACGAGGAGGTGACGGGCGAAAATGACTGCGACCGGACAGGAGGCCCTGCTGCTACCTCCCCGATCACAACATACACTATGAAGTGTTTACTAATGGACAAATGCACCGTCTGCACTCTCTACACAGCAGCCCACAAGCTACTCCAGTTACAAGTAAGCGTGGTGCTTTGACAAAGTTCATCATTGAGCTGACATAGTAATTACCTGCAATATTGCCCCGTGCATTCAGAGTGTTGAATGTCCCAATTGTGTAGAGGAAGACTGATCAGCTGTGGACCTGTTAACAAGAGATCTAGGTTAGAACAAAATAAAATAGGGACAAAGGAAATCCCACCCGCTGGAAATCAACACCCCCATTCCGCTGATTTTCAGACGAACATAATGGTAACAAATTTTCGACCATTTGGTGTCTGCTGCTTCCGCCTGTGGCAGTTTAGACAAAAGAAGCCTGGGAAAAAAAGGGCCAATATGGTCTTAAGAGTTTATTCTGACCACACAATCTGTTTTCTTAAGTCAACTTTTAAAACACCGCTACGAGCGGTGCCCACAGCTTTATCACTGAAGCTCAGATTGACCTCATCTTCACCTTCATACTATTTCCCATCTGTTTAGGTTCCACCCTAGAATCCATCCCAGTTGGCTGTAGGCCCACTTTGCATTGGGCTTCCTCAGTGGAACCAAAACCCTGTAGGAGCAAAACGCTCTCTGGTTGGCCTATTTCAGATACATTTCAGCTTGCATCTCAGCATTCCTTTCAACACCCGACAAGCCTGCAGTTTTCAGGCCATTTTGCCTGTTTACAAGAAAATAAAAAGGGGACTTACCCCTATTTTATTACAGCTTTTCCCTTGACTTAAATCAATTCAGATTAACCACAATATGCAGGGTTTACTAGATGGTTAGAATGATGCGGTCAATTGTGCACTTAACTTTAAGGGATTAAATGACCGGCATATAGTGAGGCTGCTGAGGAAAACACATACCAATATGAAAACAAATGATTACATATAAAGAAAATAACTCCATTATTGTCTTTTTTTAAAATGCGTCATACATGAGAATTACAGCTATGGCCAATGCATTACAAATCCTCACAGCGGCTCATTAGAGAGGAGAACTGACCTTCAACTAGCTACTTTTTTTTTTTAAACCGTGGAAAGCTATCAGCTGTAAGGTGTACATAGCTCGGGAATATACAAAGGCATCAATATTGGAAAATACAAGGCGTCCAGCTGGACAATTTGCACTGCCCCAAAAGCCACAGGTTGCGGTAAGGGGACTTCAAATGCTAAGGACAGTGAGAGGTGCCATTATCACTCAGAGCTGAAAAACAAGCACGGTGACCCGATTAAAGCGAGAATTTCTGGGTCACGGTCTTGTTTTTCGATGCTTAATTCGTCTATCGATAGCGACACGGTGCACGGCTTGCACCTACCTGTAATATTATCTTTCTAAAAGTCGTGGTTCAGACAGGGCCCTTGTCATTGTAACCCAACACGGAGCGCGTGTGTGTGTGTGTGTGCGCGCGTCAGCGGCTCGCCCCGCAGTAGTGTGCTCGCGGGAGGGAGCGCGAGCCGGCTGTCGCGCGGGAAAGTCGCGGGCTGCGGCGCCGCTCAGTGGACGTTCCGGTGTCGGTCGCTCCTGCTGGTGGAGCTTCCAGTCACGGCAGCCTTGCGCCCATGCAATAAATACTATTTATACTATTTTTTACTTTTAGAGTGTTTTTTATTTTTATATCGTGTTACTTATTATGAATAAAATTGCGTTTAATGCATTTATTTGCATTAGGTGTTTTCAAGGTTGATAGTTGGTTTGAGAGTGAAGAAAAAAAATATTTTTTTATTATAGAAAACTATAGTATTTGTATTTAATGGTTCGGATTGTGCTGTAGCCTGCTGGAGTAATTTTTCATCCACACTGCTGTAGGTGAGTATTATTTTATAGACAAATAGAGTGATATGTATATTCATAAATATGCCTGAAGTATTAACATTACAAATGCAGGAATACTTTGGACTTGGACAATTTTACTTCACCTGAGCCGAAACCATTGGCTTATTTGGGTGGCCCTTGGTGTACGGCAAAAAACAAGTTCATACAGTGTCTGTGGTCCAGCCTTCTCAGGGCTTCCTTTGCACTAGACGCGCTGCCCTTCATCTCATGCTAATGTAGTACAAAAAAGATATCTAGCTTTAAAGACATGGCAGTGTTAAAAAAAGGGCTGTGCTTAGCGTTTGAAGCTATAAATGTGACAGAAGACTTCAAGAGGAAGACCCAAGACTGGCAGTCTAAAGATGAGTGAGAAACGGACAGGCAACATGCTTTTTTCCCATCCAGAGGGATATTCTGTGGCCAAGCTTGATTATTAGAGATGAAGGACAGGCTGAGAGGATGTGGGATTGTTAAATCCTTGAATCCTTTCACCAAAGCCCCATCTATAACATTCTTCAGCACTTCTCTGTGCATTTAATGTGAACTTTCTTTTTAAGACTGAATGAAATTCAGATACTCTGATGATATGCAAAAAGCAGCGAAATATGAAAATATAATTAGGGACTCTATAGTATCCTACTTAGGCATTCATAAATACTACTGGGATATTAATTTAAATATACCCAAAGCAAACTCTGTACAGTATGACGAATTCGAGGTTGGCAGGAAGTCACAGACTCCAATAACTAATAAATACACTATAAATGTAGACAGCACTTCAACTGTGGTGTTATGTGAAACCTTGGCTCTGCAGCTAAAACCTCTGCTCCCCTTGCTTTGAGAGGCTGTGCTTCATTTCATGCCCTGTCCATTACTGCCAGCATATTTGAAAAGTGCTAAGACTTGAAACTAGTCCCATATTATTTCAGGACGGACTGAATATTTCACGGCAGGAGGCACAAAATGAGACCTTCCCTCAAGAGACTGCCTGCAGTGCATTCTACTTGGTGCAGCAATCGGAAGGTCTCACACTGTGCAAAACACACTTGAACAAACAATTATATATTTAACTGCCACAGATTTTTCCTTTTTTTTTATGCGTACAGGAAAATGGGAAAGAAATACAAAATTGTATGATACTGTAAATATGGAGAGTCCGAGCACGGAGAGTTTTGTTCTTGCTCAGATTGGTTTCTGCACACACGTCGGGGTACAGTGAGTAATCAGCGACCCATAAAATAAGGTGTTTTATCACCACCTTAGGAGCAGGAACACATTCCAAGGTAACTGGAGATCCCTTTGAGTTACACCCAGAGCAGCAGGCTAAAAACAGGAAGCTAATCAGAATGATTCTCGAATCACCCGTGCCTGCTTGAAATTGGATCCCGGTCTTGTGAGAATAGCCAGCGACATTGTCTGTGTTCTGGTGCGTGATTCCATAAATGTCTGACAGAGTAGACGGTGGACTCAGTTGTCTGTCTTTTGACTGATTGAGGAGCGGGCTGTTGCAGAAGCTTCATGGCTTCAGAGAGACACTAGAAGCAACGTTATCAAGAAAGAGCCACTTTGTAACGAAAAAAGAATGTATTTAAAAGAAACATGTCAGTGTGCTATATTCACCCACTCAGACTGCGCGCTGCATATATATATATATATATATATATATATATATATATATATATATATATACACATTATAAATCTTTGAATCATAGTTGAAGTAATATTCTATAAGATACTAACAATAACAGTATACTTTAAAGATAATAATTATGGTAAAGAAAGGCAACCTGGAAACCTTTATTAGACCTTTTTTTCCCTCATTGACATTCGATTACCCAACCTAAAATGATCCATGAACATTTACCCAACAAAAACAAGCCCCCATCAAAATGTAAATTTGACATAAAATGTACCATATTTTATAATATTGAACAACTTGCTCTTGAAAGTAGATTTTGCAACAGGAAAAAAGTCAAACAACAAAGCTTTGCTTAATCATTAAAACGTCAGCTGGCAGTGACCTTTGGGAAGGATCTATATCTCTGCTCCTGGAAGAAATGATGTGGATAGCAAGCAGTAGTGTCCTTTGTGTTTTGTGAAGATATTGAGTGTTTGAAGTGTTAACACTGACACTAAGCCTTTGGGGCGAGCAGGCGAAGGAAACATGTCACACAATAGGATGGGACTTGGATCTTTGCTTCCCCTTTTCTGACCTTTGACCATCATGGGTTTTAAGGGTTGCTGCAGCCCCGGCTCCTTAGGGGCAGGGACATCATAACATGCAGGAGTAGAATTACTTGGCTAATAATTTGAAACTAGAATAAACACAATCTGTTTCCTTTTTTTATTTTTACATGTACAAAAAAACCCTGAAATATTGTTTGTGGTATGAAGCTATAGATAAAGCATTTCATTTGGAAATTGTTATTTCAAATGTCTGCATCCCATGTAAGTGCGATGCTCTCAACAAAATCCTGTATGAAGGCAATACAATTTACAGTACGATCCTTTTGTAAGATTGTGAAATTACAATTCCCGTCCTCGTTTCAAGGCTCCTTTATTCAGCCTGCTTTTATCCTTGTGCAGACTTCGAGAGCCTCGGCCATCTATTAGGCATTTGCTGTCATGGAGATGACCTTTGTTAATGAATCTTTGAATTTTGGTTGACAATGTTTTTGTGTGATCCCTCCATATTATATGCCTCCAGTAGCTTGGCTGACATAATCCATTGAGGCCACACATAAAACAGTGTGCCATCTGCACCTGGAGCACGGCTATCAGCTCTGTTTCCTCCCAACCCCCCATCGCAAACTGCCTTTGCTTGAGCTTTTTCCTGCCTGTGTGTAGCCTGACCCTGCTCTCCCCGTTCCAGGCTACAGAAGCCAAACCAAAGGCTGCTTTTAAGGGGGACTGTCTGCTCAAATCAAGTCAGAGGCCTTTTAGAATCGGTTCAGAGATCATAGCAAGTGGAAGTCGGGGAAGAGGATGACCCTCTCCTCGAGGCTTGATCGGATCTTGGCCCAGTCAAACCGCAGCAGGGCTGAGTCTCTGGACGGCTTCGTCTCTGCAGGGTTTGACTCTGTGATAGTGCGAATGAAAGAGGGCACCGAGAGAGAGCAGCAGTTCTGATGTGTCAGGCTCAATGTCCTGGCAGTCTCGCAGAGCAAAGTGGGCAAAGCAAAGGACACAGCCAGCAGGCACGGGGCCAAAGCAAGACCCCTATATTGTGTGACATATCATCTAATGGCTGTCTTTTTGTTTTAAATTTATACATCTGAGACAAGTTGGGGCAAATGACATAGGTCACATATAAGAGAAATGTAAGCATGCTCTTGCATAGAAGAAATAAACATATGGTTTACAGTATATTTTTAATGTTTAGTAGCGTAAAATCACAAGTCAAATACCCTGTTGATTACGGCTGCAAACATAATTGCCTTTTCTATTAGTATCCATTGACATCCATTGATCTCTCATACGTTCTTCTTGTTCGACCTCCACATAAGACCATGTTTTCAAAAACACTCGTCGGTGTCCTTCATATTTTGCGATATCAAAAAAAAAGTTACATGCTGGAAAACTTTAGAATTCTGTTAACTGTAAACACGGCTGTAAACACGGCTGTTGGGATGGAGAGCTACTTCTGTCTTGTTGACACACGGGATTATTCAGCCCGTGTTTCTGACCCTTCTCTACTTGACTTGGTCTCCCCCCACTCCCCACCTCCACAGATCTCAGCATTCATTAAGATTACGTATTTACTTTAAGCCCGCCGCCTCTTTGCATAATGGCAAGCAGGTTCCCCGGCCGGCACAGTGTGTTTTCAAGTGTTTGGCGAGGATAGGACTGAATTTTAAACGCGATGCGTCTGTGCCTCAAAGTTGACCTTGCACATAAAGCCCAGTGATCTCGTTCTTCGCTTCAGTGGAAGGCTGCTGATTCTCTCTGTTGGAGAGTTACTCCTGTAAGGAAGGATCCTCGTTTGGCCTGCGTATCACTGCCAGCTACTTCTACCCGACTCCTTCCTTGCTCTCCTTTCACCTGAACGAGAGGCCGGAGAAAACGGCTCAATCCGTAATACTTTGATGGGGACAAAGGGAGTAATGTACCAACGGAGAATATAACAGCTGAACGCAGAACAGGAAGCAAAGACTTATGTCCGCTGTTATTATTTTACAAACATGGTGAACCTGATAAAACTATTGCGTAGGTTTGGAGCCTGCGGATCATGTGTCATGGTTAATATTGTATAGTGTTAGAAGTCACGGTTCCTTGTGTCAACCACATCTCCCACAAGCCGATGGCAGTAAGTGGATATCGCCCAGCTCCCAGTGGATGTAACTTTATCTCAGACTAACTTAAGACCAGTGAACTTTAAGGTCAGCAGAAGTCACAGAAGTACCCACTTTACATTGAGGCCACGTTGCTCATCCCATTCATGTAGATCAGAACAGTTATATTAAATACCCTTGAGCCTTTTCCTGGCAGCTTAACTTGGCAAAACTATCCATTAGATCGCAAAGGACAGGCAAAGTTTGAAACAATAGCACCAACATGCTGTGTCTCAAGAGT